AACTAAACAATTAGGTGGGATGGTTGCATCACACTAAGTTCGTGCGAGGCAAATCTTCATGTGGTTGCTGATATATTTTGGGGACCTACTGATCTTATTTTGCAGCCATCATTTTCCACAGTATGTATGTATGTATGTTCACAGTTCTTCTGAATAGTTTATAATGCAATCATTATTTTCGATCGATTAAGACTCGACGCCCGTTAAATATGCGCTATTGGACGCTTTTCCATTATCAAATCGAAAACTATTCTCGGTATGGTCTGTCTTCATCGTAGATGTACTCGAGCTCTTAAGCTCTTTGTCGATATCTTTGATTGTAATATCTTATACTCGGAGTAAAGTAAAATATGAGATGACATACATTTTTCATTCTCAAAATGAAGTAAAAGAAAGGTTGATAATCAACAATATCACCACTATCTATTGTGATCTTTACTACTTCATTGTTTCATCCGACATCTCAATACTCTCAACATGATCGTTTTAAGGTTCGGTCATTCTTTCTCTTCTCGAGAATCATCTCGTTATCCAGTGGACGCAAGCAAGCTGCCGGCTTGGTGAGTGAGACCACAGCTCCCATCGTTTATTACTGAGAGAGGGCCAAAGGCTGTTGCCACAAGATGGAGGCTCAGAAAGCCAGAGAGAAGGGAAGAGAGCTTTTTACTGATGTAACAACTCATCAGACAGAGAACAAACAACACTTCCATCTCTTCTCGGGCATAAAGAAACAACACTTCAACCTTCTTCTTCTTCTTCTTTCCTGGTTCAAAAGAAGGATGGAGATCATTGGCGGGGAGACTCCAAAAGCCGGTCGAACGGTGAAAGCAAAGAGGCTTCGTTTTGATGTAACAGTTCAATGCATCCGCTTGTGGCGATTCAGAACGGGGCTCGGTGGTCCTCCGGACCGAGCTGGTGATGTGAGTGACAAGTGTCTGTCACCTTCCATGTGTGTGTACTACTCCTTCAGTTGCATACACTCCTTGACACGCTTTTGCCGATCTTTCAGATCTTTCATCTTTCCAACAAGGATCAATGAACGAAGGATTCTAATCTGCATACATAGTTGTCCTTAGGATAACATTTATAATCATCCAAATTCTTTTTTAGACTTTCTATTTTAATTTTAAAATAATAATAATAATAATAATAAGTGTTGGAAACATGATCGAAGAGAGAGAAAGAATCCCAACATCAACCTTTGCAGTCGTTCGTATGTTAGATTACATCTCCTAATTTGTGAAACTAGGTATACGAGCATCGTCTTCGACGGTAGCATCCGGAGATGGGATCGAGGACAAGGATGGTGGACCAGACGCATAGCATTGTCATTGCCCCCACATCCACAACCACATTGGCATGAGAAGTACAGACAACCTCGAGCATGTCCTCCACAAGCTGATGCTGCCCAAATGTGCAATAGTGCTGCTGAAAAGGGATGTTTTGGACTGTGGAATTGGACCACCTGCTCCCAAATGCTCCCTCATGGCCTCTAATGGCTCTAAAACCAGTGTCTGTGCCATCTGTTTCCCTGCTTCCTTCGTGTTGGGTGACTTTGAAAGAACACTCTTCTGTGCACTTGCAGCCACCACCTTCATCCGCACATACCTCTTGTTCTAGGCCTCAGTGCAGCTGCACACAGAGAGAGAGAGAGAGAGAGATGTCCGTGGACCAAGCATGTGATCGTGACAGTACATTCCATAACAAAATCCAATATAGGATTTGGTTCTATTAGACTGGATCGTACATCCCCACAGTTGAGGTCTTGTTGTTGGTGCGTGGCAACATATATCTAGTTTAGTATGTTGTATTGTCTTGTGAGATGGAATATAGTTAGTTCCTTCGGCTTCTGCCCTACTGAGATATCGCAGCACACAGTGCAGGATTCTTTATACCTGCATGGATGAGTGCTAAAACATCTTCTCTAAGAACGTGTGTGTGGAAAGAGATAAAACTCGAGTCATGTCTAATCCTAATGTTGTTTTTATGCAGGCTCGGAGAATGTGCATTCAATGCCAATGGCCGGCACACACACACACACATCGGCCCGTTGTTATCGTTCGAGGTAGAACATCATGCTTTCAATCAAGCATTTAAACCAATTAATTTCCAGCACAAATGGATCTCACTCACTATTCTAATAATTCATTCGTATCACCCATTGGAGAACGATGCTTGAGATGACACTCACCGAAGCATGAATTCTTCTCGTTAAATGACACACCAGAATGAAAGTTATTCTTTGATGGAAATCAAATCAAATCAAATCAAATTGCTGGCGGATGTTTGATTTCAGTCTTCTTTCAGAAATTTCCGATCCGAAAACTGTAAAAGTAAATCCTTTGCTTTTTACCCCCACAAGAAAAAAGTAACTTTTATTTTTTGTCCTCATCGTAATAGGCCTTTGTAAGACGGTATCATTCCTTGCGTACTGATGCATGGCACTAAAAGACACTCTTTTGTTTCCCCAGAAGCAAAAGTAAAAGTAAGACGAGGCGAAGTTAACATGGAACACTGACTGCAACTTCTTTTGCTCCCAAAACACCCACTTGCTAAAGACAAATTAAGTATTTTCTCAGACCACGAGAAAGAAGAAAAGCATTCAAGAAAAATTTCTCATCTTTTAGAAAACTAAAATGGAGGATTATTGCAGTCCTCTCTACTGCTTATAATAGATCATATAAATTTATTTAAATTATCTCCTGTCGAGGGAGAGAGATGAGTATGTGTTTGTCTTCTGTTGCCTGATGTATGACTGTTGCTGGGGAGCAACGACGATCCGATAGGTCAGGCGAGTAGGAATAAACAAACATCAACGAGGGAGGGGTGTGGAAAGAGGATTCACTCTGCCATTCTCGTCAACGATCAATGATATGCCCAAAAGAATTGTTTAGCAAAAGTCACAAACAAGAATGATCCATGCTTGATATTTGATGGTCGGTCACCGAGTGGTCTGCGTAGTTCGCACTGTAGATGAGACCATTCAGTACCGCAAGTGTGGAAGTATGCGCCGCAGCGTCCAAAAGAGAAGAAGGAGTGACTCTCCCTCCTACCATGTTGCGATCCAATCAATCGATGCGATGCGCGCAGAGGCTCACCTCGATTCGATGATCCAAGAAACAAACATTGTCTCCACCCATGTCTGATGTCAACCCCTTTCTCTTTCTGTGGTTCAGACGTTGTGGTCTTCCCTGTTGCTAGTGTACGTGACGGAATGGCTCTTCTTCCGCTGCGAGCAACCTCGACGATGGCTTGCCAAATATGCAGCCACACACGATTAGTAACCCATCACTCCTAAGATATTAAAATGTGCTTTTTAATGTCTCGTTATTTATGAATTATAGAGAAAGATTTTGATCGGACTATCACAAATCCCAAACACTCGATCTACGAGGAAGGATAGAATATATACATATCCTTATTTTTACATGCACAGATACTATTTTTCATGGGCACAAGATTCTTGCCTCTCTTTCGATTCCTGCAATCAGCAACCATGATTGGAGCTTACGGTGGTCCAAACCCAGTCAAAATATTAACCCATCGAATAAAAGAAAGGAGGGTCGACTAGGTTGGCAGAGTGGTCATTTCATTTGTGTGGCCTGCTTTGACCTCATAGAAAGATACGAACAAAAGCCACAGGCAGGGGAAGAAGAGTAGGATGCTGCAGGGAATGCCAGAATCATAACTTCTGACAGGGACTTGCCAAGAAATATATTTATAATTTAACCTTCGATGAAGGATATATTTGTGATGCCAAAAATGGAAAAAAGAAAGCATATATCCCTCACATTTGACAGGGATTTGGCAAGAAACTATTTACGCTTACCATGTCATAGAAAGACAAACTTAGTGATGGAGAAAAAGAAAAGATTTATGACTCCCTTGGGGGATCAAGATCGGTAATGGTAGGAGCCCACTCAATCACTCATCTCTTGACTTTTGTGGCAGCACTTTTCCTTTTTCCTAATTCTTTCTTCAAGGTTTGAGTTCTGACACTTGGAAAACGATGCATTATTGTGCTCGATGGTTTGGAATATTTGCATCACAGGTTTTAATGTTGCGTCTTTAATGCATCGGGGCTGATGAGAACAATGTTTGATCATCTTTGCATAAACATGTTTGAATATACTCGACTGACTTCACCAATATCATGTCATGTCCAATACGAATGATAAGACTATTATCTTATGTTGTCGAGTTTCATGCATACTCCAACAGATATCTACTTCTCCTTTGACCAACCTCATTCATGCATAATCTCATGTGAACATTAAGATTATAATCCTTTTCCAAGAGTCCTTAATAACTTTATCGATGATAAGATAATGGAATCATATGGAAATTTTAGATTTTGATCCATCTAATACTTCTCTGTCCAACAATTTGATTACACATTGAGGAGTATATTGACCTTGGCATTGTGTGTATTAACGAACGAGTGGTGTTTGCTGAATTGGATGGACCCGACGAAGTGGCCAAGTGGTGGGTGGTGAATGCTTCTTCCATGAGCAGAAGGATCAACCCAGGAATGATGAAGAGTCCACAAGGAGTCATATCTCTCCTGAGCAAGCAATCAATCTATCTATCTATTAAATGCCCAGTTGACAAGATAGCAAGGAGAGTTGAATTCCTTTGGGTGGCTGCCCCCCTCCTCTTTGGTATTCAATACAATGCTGCATGCAACAAGTCCACCACTTCCCATCATGTTTTATTATACACGTAGAGAGAGAGAGAGGAATTGCTTTCTTGGGGGACTGAGCAGCGCCGCACCACCGAAAGCGACGCCAGCTCGCTTAGCCTCGCATGGAGGTGGCCGCAGAGGCTGCGCAGCGCCCAAAGTCTTTATTATTCTTCCTTTTGGAAGCTCTCAGTAATAATAATAATGGAGGGAGAGAGAGACGGAGGGAGGAGATGGATGCAGTATAATACCCAACGCCAGTAAAGAAGACAAAGAAAGAGATATGTGTAAGTATGAATGAATACACAACGCCGGTGAGAGAGAGAGAGAGAGAGAGGGGCAAAAGGAAGTGACGACCATGAAGATCTGATAAAAAGAGGGAGCGAGGGGAGAGAGAGGGAGAAGAAGGACGTAGATAAGACTCGTAATCATCGTCACCAGTACACGACACGCCATTGTTTCCTCTTCCCAATATACTCGCTTGCTGTTTCGCTCCCGCTTCCTGTTTGCCTTCTTTTATGAAGCCCACCAACACCACTTACCACTGCAGCAACAGCAAAGACAACATCAGCATCATCATCATCATCATTTAGAGGGAGCAGAGGAGCGGCGGCGACTTCCAGGAGGATTAATTCACCAACTCCTGTATTGAGGAGAGAGGGAGAGAGAGAGAGAGCGAGGCGTAGGGTGGATAGGCGGGAGGATCGGGGGGAGGACGAGGGGAGGGAGTAGTACCATAGGCTTTAAAGAGCGGGAGGCGCGAGGAGGTTGGCGGAGTAAAGACGCCTTGGGTGGGTAAGCTTGCAAGGGAGGGAAAGGAGGAGGGAGGAGAGCTCCGGGTGGGTTGACTCTGCCGGTGGTAGGGATGAAGTTCATGAAGCTGGGATCCAAGCCGGACGCCTTCCAATCGGACGGGGGCAACATCAGGTTCGGCCTTTCGCTTTCTTCGTCCTCGGTCTTCACTTTGAAATCGTTTCTTGGTTTCGATCCTGCGATTTCTCTTCGGCGGCGCGATCCATTTTCTTGTGGGCTTGTTTGTTCATCTTCTTGATTGGTGTTTTGCGATGGTCTTTGGGATGTCAGCCGAATTCTTTGGGACGACGAGGTCGCTGTAACTCTCCGCAGCACCTCGAAACACCGAAGAAGACGATCCTTTCGTACTCGTCTTTAATGCTCTGCCTTGCTAACACCGGAATCAAGTCGATCAGTCCCCCGAGAGACTTTAGTCGCGTATGGTTCCTCCCTGTCCTCTATGTTCTGCTACTTTTGGACCGATCACTGTGGGGTTTTTGGGGGGAGCTAATTGGTTCGCCACCGAAGAGGGAGGAGGTGAAGGGGTGAGACTCTGCCACGCACTGTTTTGTGTAAGCAGAGAAGTGGCGTTGCTTCGTTGTTGCCACCTTACACGAAGAGAGGACTTGGAACGACATCTGGTTCAAGTTACTATTAGAACAATGGTTCTATGCTTCGTAGACAATGATGACGATGATGATGCAGGAACAGGTGCTCCACATTTTGCCCGACTTCCATGTGGGGGATGGAAGAGAGTGATTCGAAAGAGAGGCTAGTGAAATGGTGATCGTTTCAGAGGGAGGAATCCAACGCAAAGCAGGTGCCCGAGTCCCCGAGTCCTAATCAAGCTGGGGTTGGGCTGCATCCCACTTGGGTTTGCTGGTATACCCTTTTTTGGGTGTCGTACAGGTCTCACCACCTCAATGTCTTTTCTTTCATGGCTTCCTCTTACGTATCTGTGAGAAGTGAAGTTTAATTGCTCTAAAACTGCTGGATGTTAGAGCTGTTCCAGGAAGCAGCTGCAATTGCTTTAAAAGGCTCATTTAGGCAGGCTTTTGTCAACCTTTTTCCTAGTATTTGCTCTGGGAAGTAGTAACATTATCCAGAGGGGCTCTCTCTGTGAGCCTAACAATAGTGAGATTTAGCACAGGAAATGAATGTTTTTCTTTTGACATTGTACTTTTGGGTGTCAACTGATGCAGATCTGGAGTTGCATGGTGAGTGGAACTGTAGAGAAGCTATTAATGGCTCTGCATTCCATCATCTATAGTAGAAAGACAACCACTTTTGATCATATCAGATACATAGATCCAAGCTTTATTAGAATGAGCAGAGTTTTACTTTTGGAATTTGATATGGAATGAACAAGCTTACGAGCAATAAGAGTATCATAATAAATGTTTCTACCCGGCGGAAAAGTAGATTGTTCCTAATGGGCAAGAGTGGCCAGCCTGACCTTGCCGTGGTTGCCGGCTTATGCAACTTCTTTGAATTGTTCACGAAAGCAAATTTGTGGAAAGGAAAATCTACAGTTCTTTTTTTCAGAGCAGTGTTCTTACTGTTGGCGCTGCATGATCCAGCTCTGGCGAGGAGCTTATTGTTAGAACCCATGCTGTTTATGCTAATACCTGTTGACATTTTGTTGATTTTAGAAACAATAAAAATCCACACTAGTGATGCAACACTATAATGCATTTATGTCTGGTCGACAAGAATTTTACTCAAGAGTGTTGGAGTTTTCTATGACGAGATGTGAATATGATCAAGGATTGAGAGCAAGAAGTTTTGTCGCCTTTTTAACTAAATGATGGAAGAGCTTTCGATAATCTTGAAACCAATGGCTTTCTGTGGATGATGACATGCCTAAATGATAATAAAACTTTGTGAAATTTGATTCTATTCAAGAAATGGAAAAGATTCATAGCAAGCTTATTCACATGGAATGCATTCAGAGTCAACCGACTTTTGGCATGTGTTTCATTTTTATTGACAAGATATTAGCTATCATATTCCTACTCTGTGTGGGTTTGTGATCTGACCAACAAGAATATTGTGGTGGCTTATTCATTTTCTTCACATATCATTAAGTATGTGCTTTTGGTTAGTAAGTTTTACTGAAGACTATCGGCAAGTGCAGGCCGAATGAGAACAAATGTCAGTGTTGATCAGAAGATTTCTATTGTTTTTTTCCTTGGGTCTGTGAACTGTGCCGAGTTAGCATTCTCCACTTTCTTTTTCATCCTTTTAGATGAGCCCTGGGGCCTATTAATCTCCATTCCTACCCTTGAACATAGTTAGAGTCATCAAATTTCGGATGGTGCACCATTAGGAGAAACATAATTCTGATCTCAGATAAGCTGCTGATGGTTCTTCTGTGGATAAAATAAAGCTTTATCCTTTATATTTTTTATGCGGTGCTATGAGAGGATTGGCGGAGGCACATTTGCTAAGTTGCTCGGTTTGACCATGGCATCATGACTTGCTTGGACTCACTAAAAAGCCCTACCTGGCATGTGAGTGTAGGTTTCATAAAAATGTCTTGCACATTATGCTGCCATTATTTGGAAATTTGATATATGTATGATGATCTATTAAGTGATGGAGGCTCTAGTTCTTCCATCCGATTGGGTTGTAGTGAAGGACTCACCTTTGAACCCCCAAAATATGGTTTGCTAATGAGCTTGAAGAGGGGCTGAAACAGTTTTTATCTCATTGTGTGAACAACACAAGAACATAAACTGGTTTCCTTTCTTTTCTCGCTGCATGAATTAAATGAATTTACAAGTTAATTTACAAAGATCTAGGAGAGAGGATTTTGTTATGTTTCATAATTTGACATTTTTTGCCTTAGAGGCTGATTGTTTTGTTTATTTTGATTATATCTTCATATGATATTTCTTGTCTGAGATAAGATTGGTACAAGGTTTGCGACTGATGATCAACTGATGCAGGTTTGTGGTGTCTGAGCTACCTACGGATGTCAGTGTTCGAATTGGTGAAGTGAGATTTTATTTACACAAGGTCAACACCTGTCCTTAATTTAGTAAAATAAACAAATTTCTTTTGTACTAATTACCATTTGATCTATGGAAAGGATAAAGTGCTTTACATTTGAAGTACTTGTGGTTCATTTCCATGACATAATGATCGTAAAATTCTATACTTATTATAGTGTCATGTAATCTTGAGATTGACTCAGTATGATGCTCAAGTGTTTTGAGTTTTTTGATCCAGTTCCCTCTTCTATCCAAGAGCAACAGATTACAAGGGTTAATTCTCAGGGTTGGTGAGGACAGCACAAATGAAATATTCTTGCATGACTTTCCTGGTGGACCAAAAGCCTTTGAGATTTGTGCCAAATTTTGCTACGGAATGATCGTGACTCTCAATGCCTACAATGTGGTTGCTGCTAGGTGTGCTGCGGAATATCTAGAGATGACCGAGAATGTTGAGAAAGGGAATCTGATCTATAAAATTGAGGTTTTTCTGAACTCGAGTGTTTTACGGAGTTGGAAAGATTCCATTATAGTTCTACAAGCCACAAAATCTTTGTTACCATGGTCTGAGGAGCTGAAGGTGGCTGGAAGATGCATAGACTGCATTGCTTCTAAGACATCTGTAGACCCAACCAACATCAACTGGTCATATACCTACAACAGGAAATTAGCAGCTTCTGATGAAATAGTTGAAATCCAACAAAGGATGCATACAGTACCTAATGATTGGTGGGTTGAAGATATATGTGAGCTGGATGTTGATCTTTACAGGCGAGTGATGGTTGCTGTAAAATCTAAGGGAAGGATGTCCTCGGACATGATAGGAGAGGCCCTCAAGGCCTATGCGGTGAGATGGTTGCCCGATTCTTATGATGCCTTGGTTGCTGATGACTACATGAAAAGGAACAGGACTCTGGTGGAAACCATCGTCTCTCTGTTGCCGTCCGATAAGTGTTCTGGATGTTCATGCAGGTTTCTCCTAAAATTATTGAAAGTTGTGATCTTGGTTGGAGCGGGTGACGCGTTGAAGGAAGAACTGATAAATCGCATAAGTATGCAGTTCCACAAAGCTTCCGTTAAGGATCTGCTGATTCCAGCAAAATCGGGTGGTGATACAATATATGATGTACACCTGGTGCAAATTCTAGTTGGTAAATTCATGGTGCACGTTGGTAGCAGTCATGATATAAACTTTGTTGATAAAAGTGAAAGCAGATTTGTGGAAATTAATACAGAGAACAAAACTTTGCTGCCTATGGGAAAACTGATTGATGGTTACCTTGCTGAAATAGCGAGTGATCCAAATTTGTCGATTTCTAGCTTTGTTGATCTTGCTAAGTCGATTCCTGATGCAGCAAGACCAGGTCATGATGGGTTATACATGGCCATCGATATCTATTTGAAGGTATTCTTATCATACACTTACTAGCTTTATTTTAATTTTGTACCTTACATGCTGTACGAAGGGATGGTTCAAGAGACATTTCTCATGGTTCTTTTTATGGATTATTCCTTCACTTGAATTCCAACACATATTACTTGTCATTGCTAATTGATTCCTTTAAGCAGGTCTAGATTGTATTGAAAATTCTATCTGATTTTTTTCCTTCACAGAGAATTATGTTGAATTTCCGACTATATTTTTCACTTGATCATCAAAAAACTCTGATGCTCTTTATGCATATGTTTCCATCATTTATTCCTGAAACAAATACCTGTTACAGATTCAATTTGTGAATTCAAACTCAAAGTATCTGCTTTGATTGTTTTTGAACATAGAATTCTATCCTCGCGCTCATCTCTTTTCCATGGTAGTACTTGACAACTTCAGCTATTCACAAGAGTTGCTCTTGGCTGATTAACTGGTCAATTTTACAAGTTTTTCCTGCTTACATCCATGTTCTTTCAAGATCAATGCTGAATTCCTTAACTTGTGAAAATATCAGGAGCATCCAAACTTATCGAAAGCCGAAAAAAAGAGGATTTGTGGCCTGATGGATGTAAAGAAGCTCTCGACGGAAGCTAGCATTCACGCAGCACAAAACGAGCTTCTGCCGCTCCGAGTGGTTGTTCAGGTCCTGTTCTTTGAGCGGTTGAAGGCATCAACGGGTGTGTCAGCCCCGACCAGTGATGCTCCACATGATGCTTCGATATCCCGAGCAACCTTGGAAGAAGATTGGGAGGGGAGGGTGTCCGAGCATCACAACAGTCTAAAGCAGCAGCTAGGCAGTTTGAAGATAAAGGGGGTTGAGTGCCGAAACAGTGATGAAATGAAGAGCAGAAGCACGAAGGAAAAGAGCAGTAGCTTGTTGCTACCATCAAGATCGAGGAGGATCTTCGACAAATTGTGGGTCGGGAAGGGACAGGGAGAGACGATCAAAAGTTCTGAGACATCAGGGAGTTCACAAAGCCCACCGATCTGTGTGAAACCCGGAGAGGCCAAGTCCTCTGGTTCTTCAAGGCGCATGAGATATTCAATTTCATAAGATGAAGTTTCTTCTGTGGAGGTTTCATTGTATAGGAAAAGTGTGTTTCAGCTGCTTAGCCTGATAGATGCATTTTGCTAGTGTCCTTTTTTTTTCTTTCTTCTTTCTGTTTTTTTCTTACTATCAAGGGGACTGACTATGAGCAGAAAAAAAATCTGCTTTGTATCATCAACACCCTCCTTTTTTTCTCACTGCCTTGTTTGATGATATTTGAAGAACTGTATTAGACTGTTAAGATTGTGTAAATTGAGGATCCAAGATGGGGTTAGATGATGCATATATAACTCTAACCTTGGGTCTTTGCATTCAAATGTATCTTTGTTTTTCTAAGCTCAGATATGTGTTGCATTCACTTTATATGCATCTTAAAATGCCTTTATGGCAGTCCCAATATTTTCATGAGGAATGCAGATATCATCTTCCTATATGAAGCTCTCAAGAATCTGAACATGGTGGCCTTTCATAAAGATCATGGGAATATAAAGATGATAAAATCAAATATTGAATAGATTGTGGGGGATTTTAATGGAGGATTCTTTATGTGCAAAATAAACCCAAAAACACTATATGCTTCGAGAAAGCACAAGTTGATCTCCCTGGACACTGTTCATTAGCATAGCAGCTCAAATAGGACTGACTACTGTTGGCTCAAGAAAATAACACCACACACATCAATGCAGGAAGATAATTTAATTTCGAAAAAGAAAAAAAAAAAACCTATTGAGGTCATCCATAAAGCATATTGGAACAACAATTCCTCAATCGATGCAAACTAGAGACGATGGTAGGGTTGAAGTGATAGACTTACAGAGGTCAGAACATGCCCACACAAGTTGATGTTGGATGATCGATCATCACAGAATCACTCTGCAATCGTGATCACCCTGCAAACTCAACAGTAGGCGGAACACTCCAAGATGTCATAATGGTTTACATTTGTTTGAAATGTCAACAATAGATGAAAAAACTTGTCGAGCACAAAAAATGAATGTTATTTTTCATGAATAAAGTGACGATCTAATCAAACTAGTTTCATTGTTTCATCATCTTGTTGGTAGTACAACAATTATAGTAATTGCATCATACTATGGTACCATAATGGTTTACATTTCTTAAAATAAGAAAAATCTACACATGCTGTCTACGCTGCTTCTGCAGGCTTTGCAAACTAATGGCACTGAGGAGATAAACTATAAAAGATGCTAAACAGGAACATTAGGCATTATATGGCCATCATCAATCCAACTAGCGCTAAACAAGAGAGAGATGTCACTAATGGAGAAAAAGCAGGAACTCTAAGACACAAGTCATATGGCAAAGGCATCAGGCAGCTATAAAAAGTCAAATGAAAGTCAAGCTATGAAGTTTCGAAATGAACAACCTGGGAGTTGAACAATAATCTTAGAATCTCTGGCACTGAGGTTGGAACTGTATTTGCCATGCAGATTCAAAAAGTTAATCTTAAAATAACCATAAGAACCATAGAAACAAGTGCTCCTGATGAATATACAGACTGAACAAACTCAATCACCACAAGAGAAAGGTTAATCCAGAAGATAATAATGAAAAAGATGTATAAACAAAAAATTGAGGATGCATCATGATGATAGATCAAAGATACAATTGCTGAAGGACAAGAGTAACATTAATACAAAGATTTGGTAACCATAATAAAAGTGGTGACTCGATGACAAAAAGTGGATCTCTGAAGGCCATAAGAGCTACAACAAATCAAGTATATAATAATTTCACAAGAACAACTGAGTGCAAAGACAATCTAGGACATTAAAGAAGCTCCACGATAGCAACAGGTCTAAATGCCTTTTGGTAGTTCTAGTTCTTTCCGAGAAGCTTTATTCTGAACCACCTTCCTGGAAAATCTTTAATAAGCATTTATATATTTTTATATTTGATAATAATTAGTAAAGATTTGTGAAAGCACTTATTTTAGAATGTATTCCATCCAGAGGGCATCAATCATATTCCCAAAGTGAAATTTAAACCTGGGCAAAAGCTAGTATTTCTATTGTTTTAACTGAAATTTCATAAAATTTGTGGTTACTTGAAAAGCATTTACAGATTGAGCAACTATTTTTTCTTTGATATAATGACTTTCAAAGTGGTAAAAGGACTTCAATTAAACACTGCCAACCTTATAAAACAGGGAAAAAAATTAATATCTAATAAACTGCAGATGAAAAAAAAAATGATATCCAAACATAATGAAGAGTGTGACAAACAGTAAAGGTAGAGAGTATTTACCAAATATGGTAAAGATCAAAGAATCAAAACAACTCCTTTACATGTTACAAAATGATGCATAAATCCAGGCAAAATAGCATGAAGATTGAAAACAACTTAAAACTATTGACAAACAGCATGAGTGTAAGATGGTAACACAAATCAAACGTTGCTAATAATGAAGGATCAAGGTGCAATTAGTTAATCTCTTACTAAAGGCAGTGGCAAAAACTCCATAAAGCAACAACGAATTAACCGAAGACTAGAAGGGCTTATCTTGGAAACATTTTAGGCACTCACTAGTATATCTTGATCAAATTAGATTAGTTAGACATCTTAGCCACTCACATAGTTGATAGACACTTAAGCAGCAAAGAAACCATTAAAATGCAATGGAAGGACAGTCATTTACAAAAAAAAAAAAAAAAAATTGTGTTTGGCATTTTGCAATACTTTTCACAGTTGGTCAATGATGGAACCATCAGATTTGTACAATGTTAAATCAAAGAAATAAAAGGAAGTGACCAAGTTATATGACATCAAACTTCCACTTCAGACATTACGATAGCTTGGAAAACAGCACAAAACTTAAACACACAGTAGAACTAGATTCTCTTGATCTAGATCTTTTTGTTTCAATGAAAGCCCAAAACAGTATGATTTTATGGCATAGCATCCACTAGAACCAAGCAGTACCATAAAATACTATGAGGCATGTATGATGAGGTACAAGATTAAATTGTAAAAATGGGAGCCTTGTAAAGTTGAACATTTAGCAACATAAAAAGATATATCTAAAAAAATATTAAAATGATTACAAGAAAGGTGTTGGAAAAACAATGACAGTAAGAATTGAGTGGTAATGTGTAATAAAACTAACATTCTGTTGGCACAGGAAACAGGGTAGAAGATCACCTGAGCAGTGGAAACAAGGCAACCAAGTAAACAGGTTTGATGACCACAAACATTTTAAAATGTATAGGCCCACTGGATCCAATTCAATCAGGTAACAGTAGCAAAATTTCTTGAGAAACTACAACATTGGCATAGATGGTTTCTGACAAGGTATACAAAACATAAAGAGAATTGAGATTAAATTTTCAAGGGATGATAACAAGTTGCTTGGAACTTGTAATTCATGTACAAAGCAAGCTGTCACCCACTGGATTTATGCCAAGTGTATGCTAAAGTGAATTAATTATAGGCAGCTCAAGCCAATCATAAATTAACAATTGGCTAACAAAGTTACCATATCATAACTTTTAGTTGTTCAAATTCTCAATCTGCTACTAGTGCCCATAAAATCTAATCTACTGTATCACAATTATAACCATTATGCTTTAACTGATTTGTTCAAGCACTCTGTGCCTTGTATACACAAATTCCTATTTTGGTGTGTACAAGGTGAGAATCCATTATTACTTCTACTTTTCTGAATCCTTATTCCTAACTTCAACCTGATTAAGATCTCCATTCTACTCCAGAATTTTACCTCTCTATTAATCATCCTACAACATCACTTATGAGATGTATGCTATTTTTTCACTCTTGTATAAGCTCTTATTGGATAAGAATTTTGATTAATACTATGAGAAGCAAAGCTTCACGTTTCTTATGTTTGGTAAAACTCATCCTTTAAATAGTGTCGCATTATATTTGTTGACATGTTGACGACTATTAAATAAAAACCAATTCTAGTCTTGGCATCTCGTCAGAGAATCTATTTGAGAAATTCTGTTTATCTGATAAGGAATGTCAAATGGCATCTCGTCAGAGAAGACACACACACACACTGCCTTGTACAATTTAAACTGTTCAATATCACTTGAAAAAAAGTAAAAAACTAATATTAACTAGTATCAAGATATATGGTTCGGTCCATACAGACCGGTACACCAAAATTTGATTCATTAATATATAATTATAAAATCCATAAAAAATAATATTAGATTATATTTACACATGATTACTTTATCTTAGTGACGAATGTCTAAATTCTTTTCGTGTCTCTAGGGGCTACATCTAGTCCTACACACAGTTCAGTCTTGTATTCGTATTTGTACTTCATCAATCTTTATCTAATCTTCACATCCATTTCTGCACTGAACAATACCCTTTTGGAATAAAGTATCCATGAAATAGTTGTATATGGATCCATACCTGCTAATCAAATATAGATATAGATACAGCTATGTTTTTGTCAATATCTAATCCATTTTTTTATCTGTCTCCAACATTTTAATCTCTAGATGTTCTTGAAGCTCTAGTCATTGTCTCGGTTCCCAAATTCAGCTGCGTAACCTAAGCATTGGAAAGGTCCAGCCAGAGTGTGTTCTGGTACCCTTTTGACGTTTTTCGTCTTGTAGGACGCCTAGCCCCAGAGATCTTCCACATCACCTGTCATGATCCATGCACTAGTCCTAGAAAGATTTGGTGCTGTGTGGTGCCTTCTTATCTAGAAATTCCACTATTAACAATGTAGACCAACGACACTTGGAGAGACATATAAACTAAATAGTGCATGACACTCTTGACATCTTTTCAAACATTAACTTCGAACTGTAATGATAGATAAACTAATTCTAAGCATATACTCATTCATCTATTTTCCAAAATCCAATCCTTCAACATCTATAAGACCAAAAGTTTCAAAGTCTATATTCTTACTAGTTTGTACTGTGTACAGTTCCATTAAGGCCAGGTCTAAATAGCTGAGAATACAGTTTCTAGTGTGTCGTGAAAGACAACTGCCCTAATAAAAATTCTTCTCCAGAATTGATGTCAGCAGTCTTCCCAGGGGAAAGAACTAAGTGGGTCATGGTCAGAGCACTTCTTGGAGATGGAGATTTTTTTTTTAAAATATGCATGAAATAAATCTAGGTGGATGAAGTATGACATTTTCATTGGATGTATAAATTTAAGCATGAACTAACCATCGCGATGAAGTGCATGAGCTAAAAGAAGAAATTTCACAGTCTTAGGTGGGCAATATTGTTAAGAAGTCATAGGGACAGTTGCAATGGCCTAAGAATACATGAAATGAAATAAGGAATAAACAATGAAACTGAAACTTACGAAGATAATAACTTAAACATTTATGGAAAATTATTGCTTAAACTTCAAATATTTATCATTCCTAACACATACATCTATTTACCAAGACGAGGACAATCGAAGGAAACAAGTTCCCAAAAGGATTACAATTCCAACACAAGCATATCCAAAGACTTCAGCAACTGGACGGCCGATCCGACAGATCAAACCGATGTCTGTGTGAAGAGCAGCAAACTCTTTCCAGTGGCAGGGAATAGATCAAAGGGAACTAGGGTTTGAAAGTGTAGGGCTGAGGGAGGGAGATGGGACCTCGGCGGGGATCATTCCCGTCGTCCAGCAACCTCTGCACCCGTTTTTTGGCGCAATACTGCCGATCGAAATGCTTGACCTGCAGAGTTCCGACCACCGCACACGAAGGATCACCAAAAGAAATAAAAGAGAAGGAAAAAAAGATCAATCTTTGGGCGAGGAGAACAGGGGAATTGAACAAGACACAATACCCAGGTGGGGCGGCACTTGGAAGCGAACTCGGCGCGGGCGGACTTGCACTGTGCGGGATAGAGGAGACCCACGGTGGCGATCTCGGTGGGCTTCTTGTCAGACTCCTTCTCCAAGCACGCGAAGAAGGCATCCCGCGCCTGTTTGTCAAAACGACTCGACGAAATCAGATACAGAGGCGATGAGAAGGAGGAAGGCGGTTTGGTTTTGGCTTGCCTTGTAGCAGGCGGCTCTGCCTTGGGCGAGCACGTCGGCCATCACGCCGTCTGAAGCAAGTTGTGGCGGCTCAGAGGACATCCACGGAGTTCAGAACGTTGGCATAACAAAAACGACAAGCCGTGCCCGAGGGTTTATATATATATATATATATATATATATATATATATATATATATATATATATAAGAGTTTCATTATGATAACAGTTTAAATTATACTTTAGCTTATTTTGTGTTAAATATTTTAAAATGTATACAACAAATAATAATAGTGATTAATAGTGATTAATTTGAAATTTTAGAGGCACATACGAAAGATCCTCATCTGAATGCTACATTAAAATATATAGAGGAAAATATGCCACATTCAAATTTTACGAGGACAAATATGTGAAATAATATAGTGCTATTGATCTCTTATGGAGCATGCAAGAACTAATTTTTGCAATACAACTCTTTTTGCCACATTGAAATAAATCACATTCTAAAATGAAATAAAAATCAACCACAGTTATAGCAATAAGTTCCCCCCGAAGAATATGCACGAATGGTATGCATGAAAAGATTCATTCACAAGCACTATCTTGTAGACTAAGGAAATAGATTTGGATCGATGGTTGCAAAATGAGGACACCAACATATGCAATTCATGTTATCAGACAAGAACAACATAGCAACTTATAGAACATCCTTTCGTTCAATCAGTACATAACCAATCAAATGGCTTGTTCAACATTCAAAAGTCGATGGTTTCTCAAAGTCCATGGAGAGTTGAGGAATCTAAAAATGCCCATTTTTTTTCAATAAAACAATGCTCATTGCAACACCAAAACCAAGGATGATTTGCACACTGCAACTCTACAACGAAGGAGACTCCTCTACTACCTGTTCATCTTCTTTGAAGCATCTCATGTCCATGATTTCCTTGCTTCAGTGAGCCAAAATATTTGACATCAAGCATTTCTTTGGTCATCGTGGCAAAAGTTACAGTTATGGCAGCGATCCGCAGACATCTCTTCTCTCCACTTCTTCCATGGCTTAGGCTTCAGCTCTTGGATCCAATTTGATAGATTCATGACGACCAACACGCTTTCTTCCTATCTTTTCGATTGCACTGCAGCTTCCCTTTTAGTTTTCCCCTCTGAAATAAGAGAGAGTCCTTTTCATGGAGACCAGTTACAAGAACTGTATAAGGAAACAAAATTTTTATGCTGTTGAGCTATTCCTGATATTGGTTGGACTGTCAAGAACCATTCCATCAATCTCTCAGAGAACTGGTACATTACTGAAGTTTGGCAATTTAGAACCTTGTAACCATGGAAAAGTTCTATTCGAAGGTAATGAAAGATAATGTATTTGGACGTTTAATGCTTATGTGCATCAACATAGAAGACCGAAATCCTTGCTTGACAATTTGTTACCACCATATTGCCGGACAAGAAAGTGCAATAAAAATGAAAAGAGAGTATAGGATGCGTATATGTCTCTTGATGAGTTCAAATTTATCTCAATGTCTTCGTCACATATGCAGCAAATAGTAAAACCCAGATAATGAACATGGTAATGTTGCTCAACTCGGTTTAGTTCTTGTCATAGCAACTTCGAACGTATACTGTATCACTAGCTTGATGAAAAGGCAGAACAAAAGCACTAAGACACGCGAAATGGACGCAAACAAAAGCTTTGTCGAAAGCAAGGCATAATGTGAATTGAGGATTCAATGAGGAAAGGACAAGATCAATATCATTCATACTGGATTGCCCTTGTCTCGGTTCCCTCACACAAAATTGCAGATATTCAATTAGATTAAAGCCCTCCGGAAGATAGCCTAGAAAGATCTGTAAGGACATCAAGCAATAGATAGTCTGGACAAGATGAAAGGAACACCTAGAAGGAAAAGAATCTGATTCTTATAGTAACATTCGGCAATAATTCCATTGGAGTTTGGCCTTTCCAGCTACTATCACTGTGATCGAGTTTCTTTGCAACAAATTAAATCAGTCAGTTTGAAGGGTTTGTCAACGCATGACATACTTAAGCTTCTTACTTGGAAAAGTAAAAAAACAATAATAATAATAAGAAGAAGAGGCTAGACTGATGCAAAAAATTGCCATGAGAAGCCAATTTGTTTCATCTGATCTATCCATGTTGAACTAATTGTCGAATCGGATCTAGATTTATACACGGAACAGGAATGAAAAATTGATAAATTAAACGAAAACAAAAAAAGAAAGACCAGAAAGGCTGCCAGACATGCAAGTATAGAGACATGAAATTGTAAAAAAAATACAAGAATTAGATTGAGTTCGCTGTGAGATCAAAAGATGGATAGCTAGCATGATCTGGGTTTTATATTTAAGCTTCATTTGTGAGTGTAAAAGGCATTTTTTTGACAATGAGAAGCAAACATTTGCAAAGAGTAAACATAACTATTTAACACATGAGAAATCATAGGTGGTCTCTAATTTCTTCTTCATCCCTCTCCTCTATTGTTGATTATGCTATTGTTCTGTACTTAGCTGATTGGATTTTCAAAATTTCTCTCTATCCACTAAGCACTCAATTTCTTTTAGGAACCATTACAGAAAAAACTAGCCTTGGCTCATTCTCGCGTGTTGTATCATCCCTGAATGAAGAATGGTAGAGTTGAAAGAGGCAGTAGTAAACGAAAGAATCTGCTCAGTTTGTGTGTTGTGTTATGGGTGGTTCACCTATGGATAAATTGCCCAAGCACATATTCTTTTACCTATGTTCCATGAATACTCATACCAAGATCATGATGTGTGTCTAACATTCCCTATGTTGATCTGTGCTTTCTGAAAACAATGATTTTATCCTCGGAAGTACTTCAAAGTTCAATCCATGACTTTGCCTCAGATAAAATAACCTCTAATGGTCTCAATTAGCCGCAGCTGCACAAAGTTTCAGACACATTGACCAATTGAGTTCAACCTAACTGCACATTAGATGTATGCGAATTCTATCCGATTTTATTTTGAACACCTTGAAACAAATAAGTACTTTGGCGGCAAGATGAAGTCACTCTGTCATGCAATGATAGTATCTTCTCTACAGTCTCCTTTGCTCATTCATTCATGTATAAGTCCTTGTTTTCCTATTGGTATAAGCATACAATAGAACCTTTTTCATCCTATGCTGATCATGGTTAAGCTTGGAACATTGTGTGTTGCCTTCATCCCCAAGGTTGGCCAGGTGAAGAACAAAATGAGTTTAATAATACCTTGAGGCCTTTGCCTTCGGAGTTGACATAGCAGTGAAAATTCATCCACCTTTGGGGTTGGCTAAGTAGAGAACAAGCAGACACCAAATACATTACGGCCATTAGCTTTAGGGTAGGTTGTCGAAAAGTACAAAATATATAACCTTCCACCTTCAAGATTGGCTAACTTTCAAAGATGTAAAAAAACATGCTTAACACATCACAAACTTCGCTGTTAGAGTTGGTTTAGTGTAAAAAGTATATCAAAGAGTCTTTTGAGTATTCATCCTCGGGAGGCTGGTGATAAAATTGCTTAACACAATCAGACACCCGAACGACAAAACTATTATCGTAACATTGATTAACACAATATGACACCCGAAGGATAAAACTATTATCATAGCCCTTTAACACGATCCATGCAGAAATTGAACTAGTTAAAAATTGCATAAACAATTTTATTTTGACTCTAATGTGCCATATTAAATTTGAACCCTATAAGGTTTCTACCAAAAATTCTACAACTTTTCTTAACATGATCCATCCAAAATTTAAGATTGCTTAAAGCCTTAAAAAAAAAAAGATCGACTTTATCAAATCTGAACCACTCCAACCCCTTTGATCTTGTTTCACTTTCAAAAAGGTGGACTTAGGAAAAGCTCATTCTAAATCTGAATATAGGAAATGCTTTAGCGTTTACCACCACATTTTGCTTTTATAGTCAAATAAATAATTGACCAAGCAATTGATAATGGTGGAGGGATTGTGGCGATGGCACGAACGATGATAATCATGATAACAATAGCAATGGCTGAAGGTGCTTGCGGTCGTATTTATAAAGGTGATGATGAAGACCATTCTTATGATGGAGATGGTAATAATGATAATGGTCCGTGATTATGGTAGCGGTAGCTATGATGAAGATTAGTATTGATGATAACGATAATACTGGAGGCAACAACAACAATAATGAATGATAATGACCACAGGTTGATAGAGACAGTTGTTACAGTGATGATGATAATGATAGTAGACGATGATAGTAATAGCGATGGTAGTAATAGCAATGAAGATGGCAAAGGACGGTGACAATGTTGAAACCATTAGTGATGATAATAATAACAATAATATTGGCAGTGATGGTGGTGGCGAGAATAACAGTATGAGTAATGGTATCAACAATAATATAGATGCTGATGTCAAAAGATATTCAATTAAAGAATCTTTTAAAGCAAAAATCTGGAGGACATTTTGATCCTCCCTGAGGAAGTTCTTTAACTTCTCCCAAAAGCTATTTCAAAAATTATAATCAAACAACCAAAGTTTGACCAAATGCATTCTTTGATAACTAATGTTCTAAAATATTTTCTGAGCTTCATCTCACTGTCCTATCTATAGATTTTTTTTTTGTTTTGTAAAATAAACTGTATGAAAATCTTATTAAACTACCTATTTAATGATATTAATTAGCTTTTGTCGCTTTCTTAAATTTTACTAGCATTTCAATTATGGCCTCTTAGTCGGAATTACCCTAATTTAAAAGGTAACCAACAATTCCTCTTGAATTTATTATTAAAATTAAATAAAAATAATTTTCATTATGATGGATCTGAAAGTATTTATATAATGTATTTATGAATAACTTGTCTCTTCTTCCAAGAAAATTAAATGAAAAACCTCAATGTTAATTCATGATCCCACAATTTTGTAAATCAAGTTATTGAACTGCTAAAAATGGTTCATGTTCCTGTGTCGACAAAAAAAAAATAGAAATTCAAGTGGTGATGGACAGCTAATAGAAATATTTGCCAATAATTAATGATAAACTCTTAAATGATGAATACATGTAAATCACAAAATCACAGTAATTTCAACAAAATATTGAAAGAAAAGTTTGGAGCTCA